TGTGTTTTGGTGTTTGCGCCTCCTCCCTCTGCTGACCCAGAAGGCAGCACCAGGACACAAAGGACTTTCCTTGTACCTCTTCACTGCATCTCATCGCTGGCACCAGAACACCTCACAGGAGCTGGGGAACTAGCTGCTTGGTAAGGATTTGTGCGGCCACAACACATGCAACCCCCAAACTGCATCTCCTGACCACACATCCCGAAGGCCGACTCTCCTCATTTTGCCCCATGTCCCAGGAGGCCCCTGCAGACCCTGCCACAAGCCGCGGCAGCCTGCTGCCCCATCAGAATTGCCCTACCTGCAGAAGAGGGACCTCCCCTAGCCAGAAGTGAAAACCTCCCTCATCCTAGGAGAAACCAGCCCCATCCTGCCCTGAACACTCAGCAAGCACCTCCCAGAGTGCTGGCACCACGCCCGACACTGGGGGCCAAAGGCAGGCACCCCAGGTCCCTATACTCACAGTGCAACTGACTTCCCCAAGGGAGCCCTCAGGGATGGGTGGCCAGGGCAGCCCTGCAGAGGAGACCCTCTCCCCCGTGCCCGTCCCCAATGGTCACTCACCTAGAGTGCATCCCCGCCCCATCCTAGGTCAGGCAGGTGAGGCAGTTCTCAGGGCCACCAGCCAAGTAACTGGGGTTATGGTTGCCCATGACCAGGTAATTAATGGAGCTGTCGCTGGGGTGGGAGGGCCCCACCCTGGGGCCAGGGTCATCATCTGGCGGCAGCTGCTGTCCCTTCATCTGCAGGAAGGCCAGGGGACCCTGAGGAGTCGTAGAGCCTCAGCACATCACAGCTCTCCAGTCCCAGGTAGCTAGGCGTGGACTCCAGGAAGAATTCCAACAGGTAGATGTGGACGCAGACAGGGCTGCTGCAGGCAGGCACCCTGGCAACTTCACGTAGACCTTGTAGCGGTGCGGGTCTGCGTTGCACAGGGTCCAAGAGTAGCGCAAGGCATCAGCAGGGAACTCAGTGGCCACCAAGAAGTAACCGAAGAACTTTCCCTGCACCAGCATGGGGCACGGCCCAGCCCCAGGACCCACGTCCAACCCTGAGACCACACATGGCTGGCACCCCAGCAGCAACAAAAGCAGCAGATCAAAAATCCATAGAGCGTCCAGGGCAGTGGCCTGGCCCCTCATCCTGGCTGGCGGGGCCACCGGGGTTCCACAGGCTGGGCAGGCAGGCATGGGCCAGGCCTTGACATTCCAGGGTCTGGTGGCCAGTACAGCCAGGCTGGGCTAGGGCCAGGTCGCAGGGCTCTGAGCAGAGGCAGGAAGAAGAGAGGGCTTCAGACGACCAAGGGGGCAGCAGTGGCTCCTAGCATCCAGGGCCCGGATGCTGGCCTGGGCTGCCATCAGCAGCTGGAAGAGAAAGCAAAAGAGAGGACTGTCAGCCCCGTGGGGAGGCTGGGACTTGAGCGTGCTGGGGGCAGTGCCCACCCTGAGCTTGGGGCCCTCACACAGGCCCTGGCCCTGCTCTCAAGCACCTTCTCTAGGAACCTGCCTGTCACATGCCAGTGTGTTCACCTACAGGGATGGGAGGGGCAGGAAGCCAGGGGCCAGGGCACGTCCTTTCCCACATAGGCCTGGGTGGGAGCAGTGGGTAGCCCCGGCCAGGGCCACAGGCCACATGGGCCTCGGCTGTGCCCATCTGGACAGACAGACTGGCATGGCCACCCTGCTCTGGGCCTGTCTCCAAGCCCCATGGTGACCATGGGGATCATTTCCATTCTGGCCCTCTGTGGCCTCTCTGACCTTACCCCTCCCCAACCCCATCTTTCAGGCAAGGATCTGTAAACCCAGCCAGAGGGGATGCAGGACAGGGAGGCAGAGGAGAAAGGTCATTCCAGCCATCCCACAGCCTCCCTGCAGCCCCACTCTCTGAACCTCAGCCCATGTGGGTGCAGACTCCCTTCCCATCTCTGCCTCCTCACATAAAAATTTACCCATTGTTTTGGGGCTGTAGGTGGGGTCAGACCCCGGTCTCTGGCTGTGACTTTCACATCCGACTGCCTCCACTCAGCCCCCATCCACCCTGCTGCCTGTCACAGGGCCCCTCAGGTGCCCCCTTCAGCCTCCCACCTGCGCTCCCAACAGGAAACTCCCCTCCTCCTTTACCCCCAACCCAGATTCTCCTGCAGCCACTGGGTCCAGGCTTCTGCCTGGACAGATGCCTGCATCCTGCCTTGACCAGGTCGGCAAGGTTGCCACCCCCCAATTTCATGGCGAGGAAACCGAGGCTCAGATAAAGTCACAGTAAGGAGGTGGGAGTACCCACATCTGAACCCCAGATTGACCCCAATGCCCGTGACCCTGGGGTCACTTGCCCTGCTCCAGGAGAGGGTGCTGGCTGTGTGCTACCCACTCACACCCAGTGGAGGAAGGCAGCTCCTGGCCCAGGTGAGCGGGGATGCAGTAGAGCTGTCCTGGCCTCAGGAAGCCAGCACCGCCCTTCCTGGACTCGCCTCCACGTGAAGCCTGGTAAGTTCCTTCTGCTTCCAAGCCTCGGTTTTCCTACCCTTCCCAAAGCCTGTGGCCGGCCATCGCCCCACACAGCAGCGAGGCCAGCGGGCGAGTAGGGAGACTGCAGTCTGTGCACCAGAGCTGGCCCAGCCTCCTGGTGTTGGCACCTCCGCTCTGCGGACTGTGCACACACTGGCCTCCTGCCCACAGGGACTCATTTCTTGCTGCCTGGGCCCAGCTGGCCGGTGACATAAGGTTGGTCACTGTTTGCAGTCCCCTCCTGGCGTCCGTGCTGACAGGTCTGTAGGAACGACAAGAGCTGGGCGTGGGTGGCCTCTGGCTCTGAGTGATCTGGGCCAGGACAGCTACACTTGGGCTGCCCCTCTCGTGGCTGTGTGGGCTCGGGCCCGTCCCTCACCTCCCAGCCTCAGTGTCCCCATCTGTAAGGTGGGAGTTAGGCTTCACGCATTCAGCACAAGGGTATGAGCTGGACCTGCTGGTTTACCCAGAGATGGGGCAGGAGGGGACCCCAGGGGGAGAAAGGCTGGTTGGGGATGCTAGGTCACAAGGGGCGGCCCTGTGGGGGCTCTTCAGTGGCAAGTGTTCATGTCCTCTGAGGAGGGAACTTGCCAACTCCTCATGCTGCCCCTTCGAGCAGTACTGGGCAAACTTGTACTTGGCCCCTATCATTGGGAAGTCCGTTCTCTTCCCTGCCTCCGGACCATTCCGGGGACAGTCTTGGTGGTGGTGGTGGGCAGAGCCACCTGCCCTGGACTCCTAATCAACGTCTGGGGACAGAGACCAGGGCAAAGGTTCCACGGCCAATCACACACCTAGGAGGGTGCCCACTAGGCCTGATGGCAGGGTGGCAGTGCGACCTGAAATCTCTCCTGAGCCTCAGCCCCACCTGCAGCACGCCCTCCCCTGCACCCAACTTGAGACCTACTGCTGCCATCACCCAGGGCCCCAGCCCCGGAACAACCCTCTCTGATGTCCTGGAGAACCCCAGAAGAAAATCTGACCACAGTCCAGTGCCTCCCCCAACACCACCCTATGTGACAGCCACTTCACTCTGCCCTGTCCCCACTGACCAGGGGTCAAGGCTATTTCAAAACCCAGCACCTTTCCCCCGAGGGGCCTGTACAGTCTCTGGGCCCACACTCTCCCCTCCTCATCCCAGCCCCTGGCAGCCCACCCCACAGCCCTCCTGTCTGGAAAGCAGGTACAGCCCAGAGTAAATGCTCAGATTGTGTGCTGGGGATGACAAGGTGGTGGAGGCAGGTGAGGGCCAGGCCGCCTCCACCATGCTGTGCACTCGCGGGCCTGGAGGGAAGAGCAGGGCTCACGGAGGGAGGGGACCACCACTGGGCTCCATCCTGTGCCGGGTGCTGGGTCCTCGAAGCAGCAGTCCCGGGGGCACCTGCTGCGGCTCCACTTTGCAGACGGGCACATGGGGGCCACAGAGGAGCCACCCTGGTGGGGACTCCCAGGTCCTGGTGCCCGAGACAGGATCCAAGCCCAGGTCTATTGGACAAGTCCCTGCCCTCTGCACGGCCTGGCACTGCCCCAGGGCAGACAGCACCGATCTGAATTCTGCTCGTGTCTCAGGGCCCAGGGGAGCTGGACCGAGTCGAGGCCCTCCCAGCATCCCTGTGGGCTGGCCTCATCTGCACCAGCTCACTCCTCTCTTCAGCGCATGTCGGGGGAGCCAGGCCCACCCGCTGTCCTGCAGAGGGCAAGAGGTGGCAGTGAGCATTAGAAGCAGGACAGCACCCCAATCACAACTGCCCCTTGGAGAGCCCACCAAGCTTTCCAAGCGGCGCAAGGGGGCAGGCCTTCGGGGAGGAAGGAAGCAGGAGGAAGATGCTCAGGACACAGGAACGAGAACCTCAGGCCCAGCTGGGCTGCGGGGCCTGGCGGGGCCGTTTCTGGCCTGGACCCTGAGGAGGTGGGAGGTACCAATGAGGAGGGAGTTTAGGAGCACGACAGGGCAAAGCCCCGTCTGGCAGCCACACCCCTAGGACTGAGACCCTGGAGTGAGACTTCACCTGCTCTTGGGGCCAGAAGACAGCCCAGAACAGCCCACACATGAAGTTCTCAAACAGGGTTCCTTGGAGCCCTGGGACTCCACAGTGAGGACCGTCCTCTAGAACACAAATCACTCCATGCCCTGGGCATTGGGGTAGGCTCTGCTGGCCAGAAGGTGGTCCCACTATGAGTTTGAGCATCATGGAACTGGCCCGCTCTGCCTCTTCTGGCTGGATCTTGGGGCAGAGCTGGCTAGGGGCCCAGGCCACCAGCATGGACAGCTCCTGCACCCTCCCACCTCCCAGATCCGCCAATGCCCTGCATCTCTGCTCCTCAGAAGAGCCCTCCATACTCTGCTCCATTCACCTCCTCCCCACCTGCCAAGGACAACTGCCACCAGCACGCCAGCCTGGGGGAAGGAGGGGGAGCTAACCTCCATTTTGCCAACCCCAAAGATCTACCCTCCTGGTCTCCCGCCCCAGCACTGGGGACCCTGAAAGATGGGTTTTTTTTGTTGGTTTCCTGGATACCACACCTGTCCCACTTTCCAGGGCTCCGGCCACTTATTCCCTCCTCTCCTGATCCTCGGCTTTGGGCCTATGAACAAAATCAGGTCCAGATAACCAGCTTCCTTTGTAACCCCACGTATCTTGTTTGGTGCCTCTACAGATGCTGTTTTGTGGAATCCATCAGCCCCACTAGCTCAGGAGGGGCCAAGAGCCCTGGACCTCGTCACCTGGCCCCGCGATGACCCGCTGGCGTGAAAGCCCAGCCTGGCCCCTGCCGCCCTGCCTGCCCTGGCTGCGGCCCCAGCCTCCAGTGACTCCCTGGGCCTCCTGCAAGGAGGGCTCCCCTCCAAGGGTCTGCAAGGCCCCCCGCCTGCCCTGCTGCCATGGAGCCCGGCCCAGTGTCCCAGCGCTCTGATCATGCCCTCCTGTGCAGGCGCCCTGCCCACCAAGGAAACCAAACTGCTAAGAAGGTGAACAGTGCCCCAACCCCACCCCACCGGGTTCCCACCCAGCACACATGCACCCCCGCCGTTGTCGCCGACGCCCACAAGGCTTGCCCGCACCTCTCCCAGAATCTTGAACACGGCCCCCTGACCAAATGAGCCCCTAACTCCGGGTGACACACAGCCCCAACACCAGGGGCCCCACCTCCCCCCACCCACCGCATCTTATGTTTGGTTGTTAGTGCCTCTTCCCTACCCTCACTGGAAAGGCAGCTTAGGACACAAAGGACTTTCCTTGTGCCTCTTCACTGCTCCTCGTCCCTGGCACCAGAACACCTCCCAGGAGCTGGGTAACTAACGAGCTGCTGGGTAAGGATTTGTGCGGCCACAACAAGTGCAACCTCCAAACTGCATCTCCTGACCACGCTTCCCGACAGCCCACTCTCATTTTTCTCCCGTGTCCCAGGAGGCCCCTGCAGACCCTGCCACAGGCCACGGCAGCCTGCTGGCCCATCAGAATCGTCCTACCTGCAAAACAGGAGGGATCTTCCCCAGCTAAAAATGAAAAACTCCCTCATCCTGGGAGAAACCAGACCCATCCTGCCCTGACCACTCAGCAAGGACCTCCCAGTGTGCCGGCACCACACCTGGTCCTGGGGGCCACAGGCAGGCACCCAAGGTCCCTATCCACTCAGTGAGCCTGCAGAGAACATTTCTCAGTGCAACTGACATCCCTGAGGGAGCGCTCATGGATGGGTGGCCAGGGCAGCCCTGCAGAGGAGACCCTCTCCCTATTCCCTCTGCCCAGAGGGCTGCCCTTTGGGCCTCTCCCCAGTGGTCACTCACCTGGAGCGCATCCTGGCCTTGGTCCTGGGTCAGGCTGCTGAGGCAGTTCTCAGGGCCACCAGCCACATCACTGGGG